AGGCGCGCATGCGCTGCGGAGCGTGAGGCGCGAAGAACGCGCGCGGGGAGCGTGAGGGCTGCGCTGGCTGAGGAGGGATGAGGCAGTGCGGGCGTTGTACGGAGCTTCTGGGGGCTGAGAGGTCTGGCAAAACTGAGAGGGCTATGGGGACAAGGAGATCTCTGAAGTCTGTGAGGATTGGGAAGGCTGTGAGTGGTATGGTGGCTGTAAGGGCTGTCTGGGGCTACGGGATCTCTGAGGGCTGTGTGGGTTGTGAAGGGCTATAAGCCTATCAGTGATTGACAGGCAGGACTAAAAGTGATTGACAGGTGGGATCAGCCCAGGAGATGGATTGACAGGGGGTACTTAGAGTGATTAAGATGTGGAGTGATCCGCTCAGACTGACTGATAGGGCCAAGAATGATGAGGGGCGGGTCAGCCTCGCAGTGATTACAGGCAGGGCCATGGGAATGCCTCTCACCTGTGGGGCTCCAGACTTTCCTTCCTGTGGAAAAGAGTTATCCTTTGTAGCTAGCTTCCATGGCTGAAATTGAGATTCTGCCTCCCAAAACTGTGCACATCTGAGGAATATTCCCAGACAAAAGCTGCCAGACTGATGGGTCTCCCTGGTCGTGACTTCCCAGGGATGGCCTCAGCTGCCCCTAGAGACACTGGGACAAAGACTTTTCTTCTTGTGGAACAGAGCTGTCCTGCCTGGCCAGGCAGCTGGGGCCAAACTGGGATTCCACCTCCTAAAACTGCCAACATCCAGGGATTGCTCCCAAATGCAAGCTGCCAGGAGAGACCTGGCTGGCCTCCCAGAGGCCACCATTCAGCTGTTCCCAAGGCACTGGGGCACTGGGCTGTCCTTCCTGTGGAAAAGTGCCATCCTTTGCAGCCAGGTACCTGTAGCCAAAATTGGGATTCTGGCCTTCTAAAACTCAGAACTTCCTTGGATTGCTCCCAGGTGAAAGCTGCCAGGACTGTCAGCTCTGAATGGCCTTGTGGGGCTGACTCTCAGCTGCCCCACAGACACTGCCAGGCTTTCCTTCCTGTGGAAAAGGGCAGTCCTTTACATCCAGGCATCCAGGGCTGAAGGTGGGATTCAACTCCCATATCAGCGCATCTTGCCGCATGTAAGAGCTTCTCTGTTGCTTGTTAACTGGTCAGATGAACAGGACAAGCTTGTACCATGTACCAAGTCTTGTACCATGGGGTTAAGACTGGTCTGACATCTGGAAGATAAAGCTGGATTTCTGACTGACAGACACCTCACTTTATAAAAGCTACATCAAAGTTTGACAAAGCAGAAAATTTTCATACTTTTCTTGGAAATGTGTAGAGTTTCTCCCATGAGCAGGGCTGCCTGCTTCACAGTTACTTCCCTGAAGGTTAAGTGAAAGGAATCTGTGTACATTATTATCATTTCAGTGGTCAGTTACATTTGACTCAATCAATACTATTTCTTTTGCTAGGTTTAATATAGGTACCTTGATATCCTGCACTGTTTTGTGTTATGCTGTAATCTACTAGTACTACTTTAGAGTACCAAAAATTGCTCCCAGACAAAAGTTGCCAGGACATATGAGTCCCACTTCCCGTGAGCTGCCTGTCATCTGCATCTGAAAATCTGGGGCTGTGAGATTTCCTTCCCATGGAGAAAAGTATTCTTTTTTTTTTTTTTTTTTTTTTTTTTTTTTTCTTCCAGGAGACCATTGCCAAAATTTGGATTGCACCTCCAAAATTCAGTATATATCCAAGAATTATTCCCAGATGAAACTTCCCAGGACAGACGAGTCTGGCTGGCATTGGCCTCCCTTTGGCCACCTCTAAAGTACACCTGACACACTGGGGCTGTAAGCTTTCCTTACTATGGAAATGCGCTGTCATTCTCATCTAGGAGTCCATGGTAGAAATTCTGAATCCTCCTGTACATCCAAGGATTTCTCCCAGACAAAAGCTGCTGGGACAGATGAGTCTCCCTGGGCTTTTCCTCCCCTGGGCCACTTCTGACCTGCACATAAAGTGCAGGTGTGCTTATGTGCTTTCCTTCCTATGGAAATTAACTGTAATTCCCATCCAGGATTCCGTGCTGGAAATTTGATTTTCACCTCCAGAAGTGCAGTGTGCTGGACTGCTTCTGTGCTGATACATTGTTCTGTACCACAGCAAATTGGCATTTCAGACTCCAGGAGACTGCAAGCGTGTGATGCTACATAAGGCTGCGAATTAACCTGCAGAACACCATGGTTGTGTGCCAAGTTTAAAGGCTGTAAGAGGAGAGTGACTGCCACATGATTGCCTTCCAAATTCCAGTTACCAGTCGGAAGGGGAAGGTCAGCGAACACTATCTGTGCTGGCACATGTTCCCATTCCAGACTTATGCTGAAACAATTCTGTTTAACTTTAGATTCTGAGACTCAGCAAATATTACGGTAGAAAGCACTGAGAAGAAAAGTGCAATATTGCACCGGTGTGTTTGGTGTGGCTTACATGATGCAAGAGGAAGATGCAGAGCAGCACTGGTTCAGCAAGCTGTTGCTGTCTCAACATTTAATTTACATCCTGTGAAAAACAACCACACCCTGGAGTCATGAATTTTCCTGCTCAGATGCATGTATCATCACATTCACTCTCCAAAACCCAGCTTCAAAACTAAACATGTCCAGCATGTAACTTTATTAATCTGTTTCTTTCTCTCTTTGATTCTGCTGTGCTTCTTCTCACACGTGGATTTCCCGGTCTCCTCTGAGCTGGGCTCCTTCGGGATACGTCCTCTGGGTCAGGACACAAACTCCAAAGCTCGTTAGGATCTTGTTTCTCCTGTTTATTAGGATGTTATCACAAAACTTGGCAGGTCTCTCCAGACTTTCTGCACAAGTTTAATTCACTGCAGTCTGGCACATTTTGGCTCTGATGGCACAAAATGGCCCTGAACTGTGCAGCCTTTTTATCTTTATACTTATTCTTATCCAATTAACAGTAGACACGTATATTATTTTTCTTAATGACCCAATGACCCATCACCTGTGTGCTGCATTGCAGCATTTTCTATCCAATCACTACTACCAAAAAACCTCTAGAAGAAGAACATGAAGAAGAAAGAAGGAAAAGAGACAACACCCTAAATCCTCCACTTTGTCTTCAGCTTTCTATACTAGCTTAAACTCTAAACTTTAACTTTTTCACCCAGTGACTTAAGAAAACTCTCTAATCTACACGCTCACACTTTTAGCTTTTCTAACTTTAACAGTTGTTTTCATGTAACACCATGAAAAAATTCCCATGAATTTCATGTTATATGAAATTCAGTGTTCTCCTGGATCTCAGATCTAGGCATCAGAGACAAGGGCACACACTCTGTGTCTCAGACTCCAACGCAGCAGTGGTTCTCCTGCTGTAGCTTCTAAAACAAAAAATAAGCACAAGCCTTCCTTTTCCCGTTGCAGTCTCTCAGAGTCCAGTTACAGAACTAAGAACGTTCAGCAGTTGGTCCCCCTGAAAAGGTTCTAGAGAAGAAAGAGGCCATGCTGGAATTCGCTTTCTTTTTGCAGCTTATAAACTGCCCAGCCAACAGTGAGAAGATTCATTTTCCTTCCCAGTTATATGCAGGATCACATTCTTTCAGTCCCGAAGATTCAGGATCCACAACGGAACCCCTACACCAACTGCTCCCACACTAATAGTGCCAGGACAGAAAGGGCGTGACTTTCACCTGGGCACTGTGAGGGCTCACAAAACACACCACACGATGGCGGTGTGCACTTGCAAAAGAAGGAAATGCACCTTGAGTAGCTCTAAACCGCTCAAAATGCAGATCCGAGTTCAAAACGTCACTGCTGTCAAATAAACTGTCAGGACAGAAAGGTTTTATTGACCTTCTCTTTCCAAGAACAAACTCCTATTTGCACCACACTCAAAACGAACTCCTCTGCGCTAATCTATTTTTTCTCTCTCACAGAGTCTGGCTAAACTTGAAAACCACCAGCAAAAGTGTAGCTCACAAAAATGCCAGCTGAGAAAGCTGTTGCTGGCCAGAACTGCCACGGCACCCATCGAGCTGCACCCACATACCCTGCTGTCAGCACTTTTCTTCTCAGCTCTGTGTACCATCAGAATCCTTCAGTCTCTCAGAGTCAGAAGCCAAACCTCAATTGCAGTGCTGATTGCTCACAGACTAAAGCTACCGAGACAAAAGGCTCAACACCTTGGCTTTTGCATTCTCACTGTAACACTTCAGCAGCTCTAACCCATGGAACTGGAAAGTAGGAAACACAAATTCACCAAGATCACCCAAAGAAGGGAGAAAAGGCACCACAAGGTAAGGGAGGGGTAGGTAAGTCATGGCAGCAGCACGGTATGTAAGGTAAGGCAAGAGAGCCATAGAAAGGGAAGGAAACCAGCAAGGCCTTGTGTTTCAGGTGCACATGATGGGCTACTGAGTAAACACCAGCTTTCTGTTCTGACACCTCTGGTGTAGAAAATCCAAGTATCATGTGAAAAGGTGAGGCATCCTTGACTCTTAGTGTTTAATTTCTGTCAACTTCCCAGGAAGGCTCTAAAAACTACGTTATCCCACTACGGACTAAGTACAACCAAAATACAATTAGTACAGGTTTTATCCACTTTCTTGAGCCCCATGTTGGGCACCAAAATATTTGTCATGGTTTGAGACAAATTTGGGAGTAAACTTCCCAAAGGGTCTCCTCTAAAAAAGCAGATTCTAGCAGCCCCTGCCCCAATGAATTCGGGAGAAAATCTTGGAGAAAATGGGGAAGAAAAAAAAAAAAAGTTTATTTAGCAAGCAAAGTATTCACAAGCATGAAAAGATAAATAATATTAACCTATAAAACCTCTCATTATTCTGAAGAGCTGGCAAATTCAAAGAGTCCTGTTGTTCAGAGAGTCCTCTGTGGGTGTTGTTCAGTCTCAGTGTCTCTGGGGTTCGGGCCACAGTGCAGCTTGGGTGGCTCCCAGGTGATTGTCCCAGACCAGAGAAAAGCTGAACAGTTCCAGAAAATAAAAACACCATCACAGGAAAAACTTTCTTGACTCAGCTCATAGACATGAAAGTATCTTTAAAAAAAAGCAGAGGAAAGCTGTCTTCCCTCTATCCATGCTGCAGACAGCACACTGAGAGAAAGGAATCCCAGGGGAGGAAACAGAGCTTTCAGAAAAAACATTCTGTTGTTTCTCCCCCTTGTTCACTCTTAAAGGCACAAAACTTATATCTGGACCAAAAAGACAGATGATGGGGATACCAGACCATACAGTCACCCCAGGACAATGTTCCATCACACACTTTCAGTCTCACAATGCCTAAACTGTCAATAGATGTCCCACACAGAAAAAATGTGGCAGGACAAAAACAGTTGTTGGATTAGCCTTGCAACCTTTCCAGAACACACCACACATTGACGCTATGGACCTTCCTTCTCAGCTCTGTGTCCTGTTGTACTGTCACATTTTTTTCACTCTTGCAAATCATAGATTGCAAATTTTAAAAGTCCAGGAGCTGATCCCATACGGAAGGTCTTAAAGCAAAAAGCTGTTCTTTTCTCCTTCCCTTACAACCAGTGAACTACTTCAAACACACCTCTGCATTGCACTTTTCAACTATTTTCACCATCACAAACTCTCAGTCTCATAGTCTAAATAGAAACCAAAGTCTCCAAGTGCAGCTTGTACAGATAATTATGTGTGCCATGAGAGAAAGATTTTGGTGACCTAACCTTATAACTGCACCCCTCCCTGTGCCTCTTTGTTCCTCCACATTAAGCCCTGGCATCTCATCCAGTCTCCCCTGCCCCAGGGTGGCCCTTGTCCCTGCTTCTCTGTGCCTCTGTCCCTGTGTCCCCTGCTCAGTGCCTCTTCATTCCTCCTGTCTTCCCACTGTCACATCTCTGGTCTCACCTCATCCTGTCCCACATCACCCCATCATTCCTCAGGCAAATATCAAACATTTGTGCTTTTATTGTGGTTCTTCCCCATATGTTTGGATTTTAAAAGGGACAAATTCTCTGTTTTCTGAGGGGGTTTACTCCAAGTGCGGAAATGAGCAGGTCCAGAAGATAGGAAATGCTTTGGAAATTACCACAGAAGGCACGAGCAGATACACTTGGCTGAGAAAATAAAATGGACTTGGGTCTTATAAAACACCAGGGTACGAATATTAAATACATACATGTATGTAATTGTGGTACGTGTGTGTAAGCTGATGTGTGAAGAAGCAAAGCAGCAGCTTGGTCACTCCCTGCAATTATTGATAACCCCAAATTTTGTGGTTTCTCTGAGTTTTCTATTCACTTCGAAGGCTAGGGACTGCTGCTCCTTTCAGAATGCTAACACCAGTTTTGTGTCCTAGCGTTGCTGAAGGTTCAGCTGTCTCTGTGGGACATTTATTATGTATTTTTTAAAACACTTGTGCTTTGATGTAATTATGTGTATATGGACACTGAGAAGGTGGGGCTGGGGGAAGAAACACTCAAAACAGCAAAAGATGAAATGGAGATGAACTGAACAGAAACCCCTTGAATTTGGAAATCAGAATAAATAAAGGTCAAGAGCAGCCCTCCAAAGAGCTTCAAGCAGGTATGTGAGGAGGGTGAGCAGAACAAAATTGCTTATTAAAGACTTTCCAGTTGTTTATTCCCCTAATTTGCCCATAGGCATCCAATATTTACAACTCTTCTCCTGCTTCCAAACCTAAAACATTCTGCTTTGCACCATATCACTTATAATTGCTGTTCCCTGTTCAGCAGTTAGTTAATGGAAAACTGGCATGTTGTGACTGTGGGGATATTAAATTCCGTTTTTGTGCCATCAGGATTGCAAAGAACCTGCTGTAAAGATCAGGAGAACATTGAGGTTCTTGCCACATCTCACTGTGCCTTGACTGACTGATGGATTTTTACTGGTTTTGATTTTCCCTTTTCCTGTTGTACTGTCCCTCCCCATCCCAGAGAGTGCTGGAACAGGGAATGCTGGAGGTTTTAATAAGGCTGATTCCATCAGTATTCATCTCCTTGTCTGGGATAAACATGGAGCAGTAGCTACTCAGTCAGCAGCCTTGGGATGCTTTTCAAAGCAGAGCTGGAACATTTTACCTTTGGATATTTGCCCTGAAGCTACCCTGAGACTGCATTTAGGAACAAAAAAGAGTCAAGGGCACAACGGCCACCTGACAGCAATGGGGATTTCACCACAGGAAAATTTCACTGCCATCCAGGACCATCTGAAACCCAAAGGTTTATTGATTGTTCTGCAGCTGAATGGAGAGCAGGGGGTGTTTGGGATGAGAAGAGGCAGAAAAGACTCAACTGAGGCATTAGATGTCCTGCTCTGTTTCCTGTGGGATGCTCTTGTCACGAACGAGGCTATCCTAAGGGGCAGGAGAGATGCTGAAGCAGGTTAAAAAAAAACACACCCAAGTCCTAAAAACAAGGGTTCAAATGAAAGTTAAAAGCTTGCAGATTTTTTAAAATAAATACAATACTTGCTTAAAATATAGACTAAAAATTAAGAATCACAACATAACATTTAGGTGGTTATCTGGTGTTAGGATATTGGGGGATGGGGAGGAAGAGGATGTGAACACAGACAATAAAAGTGATGAGAAAACGTTGATGCTACCAGCAAAACCCAGAGGTTGCCTGGGGGCAAACGGGATGTCTAGCTCTTGGGACCTGGTGTTCAGGAATCCTCATGACCAGTCTGACAAGTGACTTGAAGATCTGAATTTGAAGCAAAGGAGAAGGAATTGGTAATGCTGAAGTTTTGGCTGCCAGCTCTGTTTTTCTCCATGACAGAAGGGTGCCTCACTTCACTCCTTGAATTTTGCACTCACTAAGCTGCTGCCTGATCCTTGGCAGTGAAGAAAGAGGAGAAGACAGAGCTTAAACTTGTCATCACCCCAGCCAGCTTTTGGTCAGTGGGGTTCCCAAAGTCTAGGTATGCTTCCCGGCTTTCCTATTCCTCTGATCCATGGAAAACAAGGAGAGGGGAATCCTACCAAATGCTTGTTAACAAACTTATTTACATGACATGCTCTTTAACATATTTATGTGAAAAAATGTAATATTTTAAGGCCAATGGGAATTCTGTCCCAAAGCTACGTACATGAAAACAGGCTTTATAAAAAGAGGAAAAAAGGAGCACTTCAGGTGTACTAAGGAAGAATAGCACTCCAGGCTGTCACAGAGTGTGAGATATGGTGCAATGTGGAAAATTCTCCTGAATTTTACCAAGGAGCTCATCTTCAAAGCAAGTTCCACCTAATTTGAGGTGGTTCAGGCGAGGCAACACTTGCAACAAAGCAATAACAGTACCAAGGGAGACCAAATCATAGAGGTCAAGGCACAGGGTCTCCAGGTACTCCAGTGTCACAATAGCAACCAGCCCCTTGTTTGTCAGAAAGTAGGCATTGCTGATTTCCAGGTAGCGGAGCTGCTTCATGTGGCGTCCGATGAATACCATGGCAGCATCACCAATGATGCAGTGCCGTAGAATCAGGCGTTCAAGCTCTTCCAGGTGGGGAGCTGCTGCTTGGATCCCCTTATCAGTGATGCGGTAGGTGCCACAAAGGCTCAGTGTCTTCAAGTGGTTCTGTGAGGAAACGTCAAGAAGATGATGGTCAGAAAAGGTGGGAATGCTGTGGATAGCGAGGTGTTGTACCTGTGGTGGTGGCAGCGAAGGGGAGACGCAGAACCAGGCATCGGGGATGTCGCAGAGGCTCAGCTCCAGCGTGGTGACAGAAACGGGCATGCTCTCGTACGGGACGTGGCGGAGGTCGGTCTCGGTCAGGCACAGCCGATGGAGCTGGGGACAGCGCTTCCGAAGGGCAGCCAGCAGCGGCGGGGAGAGGAGCCGCTGCTTGCGGCCGGAGCGAGGCACGCCCCGCATCCGCAGGGTGCGCAGGCTGTCGGGGAGGCGGTGGCGCACCAGGTGCCACAGCGTGCGGCGGGTGATCTGCGGGTGGAAGGGCCTAGTTCCAGGGGATGGCTCGGGAAGGGCACCCCTGTCGCAGTGGG